GAGAGTTGCTGTAGGTTTTCACCCGATGCCCATATGGTAGTGTCATCAGCAAACAAAACCACTTTCACTAAATCAGAAACCTTGCATATATCGTTAATGTATAATATAAATAATTTAGGTCCCAAAACAGAACCCTGAGGCACTCCACATACAATATCCAGCTCACTCGATTGGTATTCACCCAACTTCACAAATTGACGCCTCTGTGTCAAATAACTTCTAATCCATTTCAGAACCATTCCCCTGATCCCATATTTTTCTAACTTGTCTATTAATAATTCATGATTGATTGTGTCAAATGCTTTTTTTAGGTCAATAAATATTCCTATCGTGTATTTCTTCTCATCCATAGGACTTGTAATGTCCTCCATCAGGTCGGTAATGGCCAAAGATGTCGATCGGTTCAACCTAAAACCATACTGGCAATCAAAATAACTGCTTAGTTAATTTGTCCTGTGGTAAAGATATTTTGCTCAGCAAGCTGCCGGGATCAAATGACCTCAGCCTTTTTAGACTAATCTAAAGGAAGAATTTAATTGCATAGGTCCTGAAATTTTAGCATTGACACCACTGCATCATAAAGTATTATTACACTGTAGCAATTAGGATTATACCTGTTGTTAAGATTAAGTTTAAGTACAGTTTGACTCCCTTTTAGTGGAAAATGTAATTATTGTGGCATAACCAGGAATAAGTTTTTATGTAATCCAGGGTGAAAAGTCATATTTCAGACAGAATACACTGTGTAGTGCAGCTGTTTATATGATGCACAGAGTCATAATAGCCTCAAGCATATGCTTTATGCTACCAGACTAAATAGATATAAGGATAATCACTTTATTTGGCCAAGTATGTTACACACAAGGAATCTGTTTCCGGTACAGAACCGAGGCAGCCATCTGCGGTGCCAACTCACACCGATGGCTCTAACCATTGGGGGCAATGTGGGGGTCTTGTCTTGCCCAAGGACACTTTGACATGTGGACTGCAGGCACTGAGATTCAAACCTCCAACCCTCCGGTTAGGAGACAACCACTCTACTCACTGAACCACAGTCGCCTCCATATATATAGTGAATGAATAGAAAACAACTTTTAAGAACAGCCTCCTCAAGGGGATGTGTGTTTTGCCATTGACCAATTGCTGTGGTTTGAAATTACACTGGACGTCCGGGGTTGCAAGCTGTAGAGATCTTGAGCTTGTCGCTGGTGGAGAGGAAGTCAGTGAAACAGGATATGTACAGCTCTTTCCTGACCTAAAGGTAAGAAATCTCAGTAGAGGTTTCTCTCTGTAGGGTTAGACATACTTGAATCCGTCCTCCTGTAGGCATAATAAGTAATGTGGAGTGATATATTAGTTGTTAGCCATGCTAGTGGGGAAGTTCAATGTTGATCTGTTGTTTGATGTACTACTTTGATCCAGACAGAAATATCTTAACAACTATTGAATGTATTGTCATGAAACTATGTACAGACATGAATGGTTCCTAGACAGTGAGTCATAATGTGTTTTGTAGTCCCCCGACATTTCTTTTAGTGTCATCATGAGGTTGACATCACCTACCTCAACAGCTATTGGATAGTTTGCCATGACATGTGGTACAGACATGTCCCCCTCAGGATGAGTTGGAGTAGCACCTCTCTGATGGCGGCTACAGCTCCCTGGTAGAGCGGATTGTCCACTAGTTGCATGGTTTGATTCTTGCTCTCCACATGTCGAAGTGTCCCTGGGTAAGACACTGAACCCCAAGTTGCTCCCAGTGGCCCTTGGTGTGTATGAATGGATGGCAGCAGTTGTAAGGTGCTTTGTCTGTTAAGGTAGAAAAGCATTATATAAGTGCAGCCCTTTCATCTAGTGTCATCATCGGGTCAAAATTCCTATCCTAGCTTCTCTTCTTATTGATATCTAGCAAATGTTAGCAGGCTAACACACTAAACCAAGAGCATAGTGAGCGTGGAAAATGCTGAACATCAGCATGTTAGTAATGTCACTGTGAGCATGTTAGCATGCTGATGTTAGCATTTAGCTCAAAGCATCACAGTACCAAAGTACAGCCTCCCAGAGTCAACACAGTGACTGTATAGTCTAAGACTCTTGTTCATTTTGTAATAAAGAAATGCAGCATGACAGTTTGAACCTTTCTTAAGGCACATGCAGTGTGTTTAGACACAAGCAGTATGTTCCTCCCCAGTCTTGATGGAAACATAGCACTGTGTTTTTAACGGACACATTGAGATGAGTGTGCAGCAGGGCCAGTTTGTAGCATCAACAGCAAAGTGGGAGCAAAGCAGTGTCGCGGTGTGTGTCTGCAGTGGGACAAGTCCAGGCGTCAGCAGACCTGACAGGCTGTGGCCCATTAAACTCCCATCAGATGCATGAGGTCATGACAACAGCTACAGCTCAGGCAACACACTCTGCCTTTGTGTTTATCATGTAGACACAATGCGACTATGTAAACCCAACAGCAGGTTAATACCCCAAACCTATTAGTCATTTTATTCTGAGCATTTTAATCATTAATGCTGAGAAGCTCAGATAAATCTTAAGAGTAACGGCTCATAGAATTCAGGACGGATGTGCTCTGGAATATGTCATGTATGATTAGATGGAAAAAAAGTTGATATGTTTGTTTTTATTCTCTTCTCATGGCACACTTAATGCATGTTGCATTACTGTTTTCTGTGTGGGAGGAGGGCAGGCTGGCTTTGAGGAAACAGGTCAACAAAGCTGCTGCAGAAGGTTTCACAGTGGGGTAGAGAGAGAGGGAGCACTGTTTGGCAAGGATGAAGTGAAAAGCATGACTTCTGTTCAAAACATGCACGTGTAAAGAATGCTCCTTGCTTGATCATGTTTTATTTAGGTCTGCTGGAACAATAGTGATCGTTGTGGGCTTTGATATTGTGGCAACTGACTTAACCGTTTCCCAAGCTCTGACTCATGTCGCCTGAGCTGAAGTCCTGCAAGGTCAGGCAAGCGAATCCTGTGCCAACCTCAGACTGTGTGGCACCACTCGGTCTCTAACTGACTTCCCTTTTTAGTGTGAAGGAAAACACACAATCCACCTATATTCCACAGTTAACCTTGTCATTCCCATCCTGTTTCTTATTGTCATCTTAATCTGTTCACTCACTGCATTCCTTTTCCTCATTTGTCCATCTCTGTACTTAAAAAACACCTGGGACCCCACTTCTTTAGCTGAGCTGTAGGAGAGAGGATAGAAAAAGATCAGCCAGTTGAATGACCAGTCACTTGGAAAGGATTACTTATGTCCTGTCCTTCTCTCACACTTTAAAGCATTTCATTAGGCCTGCTGAGCCAAAGACGTAGCTTGACCCTGCTAGGGCTGGGCTTGGTGTTGCACTGAGGGAAGTCCTGAGCATGTTATCCCCACCCAGCTGACAGTCACACAGTCACTTAAGAGGATTGCATCTCGGTGAAGTGATGTGTAATTGCTAATCTCCTGACCACAATGGAACTAGAGATCAGTAGCTTCCATTAACCTTTTAAAGGAATTGTTGTATATTTTGGGCAGCATGGAGACAGTTATATCTCAGCATAAAGACTGGAAACAGGGCAAACAAGGGGCTGTCCAGGTAAAACAAAACAAAACAAAACAAAACAAAACAAAAAAACAATCTGCCTACCAGCACCATTAAAGCTCAACATTTAATACATTACTTCTTGTAACAATGACAGGTTTTACATGGAGTTATGTTCTTTGCAAGGTAACTTCAAAGAATTAACCCCCATTATTTATAGAAATTAAACAAAGAAGATATACTATGTTACTTTCCAAGCTTTAGATGTTCTGCTAGGCACAGGACAGACAGAGCTGAGCTAGCCGTTTCCCCTGTTTTCAGCCTTTATACTAAACGAAGCTAAGTCTTATGGTTCTCCCTTCATATTGAATGGTGATATATGGAAGTGGTATCAATCTTCTCATCTAGCTTGATCATCTCTCAGCAATAAAAGAATTAAGCATATTTCCCCAAATTTCCAACTATTCTTTTAAGAATGAGCTTTTTTGTCATAACATGCTGTGTTTTTGTGATTTTTGTTACCCTATCTTCCCTATCAGTCTCAGCTGTCCTGTGTGTCAAGGTGACAGTGCTGCGTTCAGGAACATTGTCTGCCCTCTCCGGACATCACAGCTCACATCACAGACTCTAATAAATCTTCACCCTGACAGCTACATCCCCAGCTCTCACACACACACAGCTGCTCACCAGGAGGCATTTTGCAGTAAACATGTTTTCTGAACTGCTGTGCCTCAAGGCTTTATACCTTAGCTGCAACTAGATGCTATTTATTCAGAAAAAACACACTCGATTGGAGCAGATAATAGGAGAGTATGTCCTGGGTAGGCAATGCAGTGTGTAAACAAGCAGGGTAGTTGCTCATTGTCCAGAAAAATCTATAAAAATCTACATTTACCTGAAAGCACCGTGCCTCTGCAGATACAGAAGTGCCTCTGAGTACTCCGCTGACTCTGGCTAGGGGTTCTTAGTTTGCCTGTGAAAACGTCCACTCAATGACCTGTAGTTTTATCAAACACAAACTAGTTTTTTCCCATGAAATGTGCACTAATGTGTTGTGTGTTTATATGAAACCATAACATCAGCCTGCAGCAAGCACAATGAACGTGAGAGAAAGTCTCCCTGTTTTATTTTGGTTGGACCGTCATGTGCTGTAACATGTTTGCATTAAACAAAGGCACAGTTCCCCTGTTGTGTTATATGTTCACAGAGAAAATATCCTGACCTATGAAGCTGGAATTATTCATGACTTTTATGCATTCCGGTGCGAAACACCGCAGTTCCCCAGGCCTTAGGCATCGACAGCTGACAAAGGTTAAATAACAAAATAACCCTATGCCTGAAGTCACAGTTTCTTTTCCTAGCTTGTTATCTCACACTTTCCACTCAACCTCCAAACCTGTCTCTTTTTCTCCTCAGCTCATTTGCCATGTCTAAGACAGCGGTGAAGAAGCTGCACTGGCGTTCCAATGTGCAGGACAGCTTTGTCCCCCTGCTAGGCTCATCAGGGGAGCTGGGGATCGCCATTGGTGGAGGAGCAGATTATGGAGAGTTCCCTTTTGTCACGTCGGCTCCGGGGGGCGGACTCACAGTGGGAGATATCATCCTAGAAATTGGGGGAACACCTGTATTAGGGATGACATTAGGAGACGTCCGTGGTGTCCTCAGCTCCTGCCCCCATCCTATTCGCATCAAAACTGTGTCACCAGGTATTATTCAACATGCTAATCATCTCTCTATAAATGAGCCTGCAGCTTATTGTTTTGGTAGATGTGCAAATAATCACCAATCAGACAAGGGAATGTGAGAACAATAGTGTTCCTTTCCTTCTGCTAATGGCATTTATGTATTACAAATGCCCATAATAATGCATCCAGTCCGGTTCTCTCCCTTACACTGCAGACAGTTTAACCTGTTGGTGTTTACTGTACTGTCATCACTGCATTTGCTTCATCAGACTACACACCACCCATGATAAACTTGCTCAGTTACCCTCCTCCAACTCTCACAAACCAAATCTTGTAGTCAGTAGCATTCTGATGCTGATTTGCACTTCTCAATTTGTCTGGATATGTCAAGGCCATCAGTCAGTATGTAAGTAGGAGGTCAAATCACTGAATAAACATGACAAGAGTGTGCCAATATAGTTGTCTGTCACACCATCAAGGGGCCTTGCTGTTTAGGGCAGGGGGCTGGGTGAACGGATGTGTTTGTTGTCTCTAAACAGAGCAATATGTCAGTGGAGTGTCACCTGAGTGCGGTGTGCGATTGCCTTGCTTGCTAGATTGATAGCTGATTTAACCATAGGGGTGTAAATGGGGACCTTTGCTCCTGGTTCATCTGCCGCTGGTAAATCCATTATCATTGTGAAGTCTGCCTGGCCCTCCCTGGACGGCGTGCCGTGTGGACAGTGATGGATGTGCTCAAGTGCTGGTTTGCTGTACCACACCTTGTCATACTCCTGCTATTACTAAAACGCCCCGTTCTTCAGAACATCAGGCTCCATTCCCCAGTGGCAGGCAGCACTTTAGTGGTTTAAGCACTAATACAAAGAGTGGTGATATACTATCCATCAAATGTTCACATTTAACGTTTTCTTCTGTTAGATAGTTTTAGCAGTTTTTCTTTGTATAGCTATTAACCTTGACATTTGACTGGCTCACTTTAGTGCTATCCAATAAAAGTTTGTATGTTTCACAATGTACAAGAGATCTCAAGTTTGTAATACATTTCAAACATAGTCACCTCGTTCGGCTTCAGAGAGAGCTGATTAGGAAACAGCAGCTGTTTCATAACGTGATGAACAAAAGCCCATCAAAAGGCAGCCAGTTGGCTTCATTTCCTTTTACCAGCACCTGTCATACTTGCATGCAGTTGATGCCTCCATTAATAAAGTTACACCACTGTGACGTTTTTAATAGCGAACAGCAAATTTAGTCTGCTACTGGGCAGAACCACTGTAACAGACGGTGGGGGCAGGGGACAGCAGGGGCGTGGACAATTGGGCAGCAGCCTGCAGGGAAAGCACCGACAGAGCGCTCGTCTGTCTGGGTGACAAGCTATAGACGTGCTCAGCCCATTTCTAACAGCAAGTGGCCTGTCATCCGAGGCTGTAAAGCACTTGAGATGATATTAAAAGATCACAGAGAGAAAACCGAAGCCCTGATTATCAGCTTTGCCTCCCCTGGAGACAGCCTCATTTGTTCTTTCTGGAGCTATTAACATCATTAGGTTATTGTGCATGCATGGGGTTTTTAGGAAAACACATTTTATACTCAGGATCTACATGTATATGAAGTGATATAGACAGAGTTTATGTAAATTTGAGTCAAAGGTCATACAAGTTTGGGAAGAGTAACTTAGTATTTAATGGAGTGGTATGATGGAAAACAAAAAAAATGCTTTGCGGTGTATCAGGGTGATGGCGGAGGTCGTCCGCTGCTGTCAAATCACTAAGCTCTATGGCCACAGGGTCTTGAAGTTTTTCAATTTTTAAATCTCCCATTATAAGAGCAAGCTTGGTTGAAACTGCACCCGTTGTGACATCACACCCTACTGTAAAATCGCATTTGTGAGGATAAGCTCACCCCCGTGCAGTGCTACACTTAGCGTAGGAACCGTGCTAACCTTTAATCCATCTGCATTTGAAAAAAATCACTGTTTGTCTGGAAACTTAAACTGTTCGGAAACATTCAATTGAAATCTCAAGTCTGCAACAGCAGGTTCCTCTTGGACTTGGAGTCCAAACTCCCAAGAATGGGAGGCTATAGAATGCTCAGTGTGCAACTGGAGCATTAGTGTCCTTGCTGACAGACTAATCGGCTCTGAACGAGATGTGGCTGCCTGCTAATAGAAACAGCTTGGTCAGCTAGCAGGTGCTCACATCTCTGACAATGCCAGATCAAATTTCCAAATAGACTGACCACATATTCTAAAGCTAAGTGGTTGCTTTCCTGCCTGAAAACATTTTCAACTCTTAATAAAATGGCATAATACCAGTCCTAGATTATAATAGAATAGAGCCTGGCTCAAACTCCTCTGCCATCACTGCCAGTTGGCATGCAGTGCATTTTCTGGGATGTTTGGCTGCCCCATGTCCACACAGGTCAGCTCCCAAGGCCTCCTCAGTAAAATGAGCAGAACAATTCCAGTTTTTCTATTACGTACTTGACTAGATGCAGACTTGGGCTATGAGTGATGATATTTCACAAGTCTGGAACAACACAAGCAAAGGGAGGAACACATACTGAGAAGGGCCTTCAGTCTTGTGTTTCCAGCTGCAGCCATTACATAAAGTAAAGGATGAGCACCTGCATTATTCATTAGATCCTATTCTGATTGGCTAGGGTTGAACAGGAGTCATCACCTCCAGCAATCAGAGTGGGCGCTCATGAATAATGTACATTTTATGTTAGTTAACTCAGAGACAACCTGATAGAAGACACAGAGGAATCTGGGCTGTTAGTAAAGAAGATGAATTTAAAATACACAGAGTTTATAAAAACGGATCATAAAGAGCCATAATACCGGCTTTAAAGTAAATCTCAGTCTCAATTTGACAGGCTACAAAAAAATCTTAATCATCTAGGCTACTGTATCACCAGACTGTTGTTTACTGAGCTGGTTTCTTTGTGTGTGTGTGTGTGTGTGTGTCTCTCTCTCTCTTTCTCCACACTCTTCTCCATGCCATACTTGCTTCTTTGCTCTTCCCTCAGGCTCCACATTGTGCAAGGATCTCAGGTTGTATCTGAGTAAGTGTTTCACACCCGGCTCGGTGGACAGCCAACTTCAACAGGTCATCCGAGAGAACCTCTACCTCCGCGCTGTACCTTGTAAGTCCCTTGTTGTATCTCGTTTTGACTCCATTGTCACTTAACTGCTGTATATGTTTATTTAACTTTGCTGATAATATGAATTTACCAAGGCATATCTCTTCTAAGTTATTGATCTCATTAATTCTATGTTAACACACCTCATGGTTGCCATCATGTGAAGATGTGGGTGTTAATTGGTGTTTAAGGCAGCAGAACTGTTTTCCACACTTCCTTGTGTCAGTGTATGAAAACAGAACTGAGGTGATATAATGACATAATGTTAAAAAAAAGAACTAGTCACATCATCAGATCCTAGTTCTAAGACAAGTGAGGTAGCAAATCCCACAAGTGCAGTCAGTTTGGGCATTTCCATAGCAACAGTCTGTATTGTCACTGGGTTTATCCTCATTGGCAGTCTTCCCATTGCAAACCTCATCCCTGTGCTCCAGGCTATTACTTTGTTTGGGTGGTAAAATGGTGATAAATCTGATGGTCGTTGTGTTTGATAGGTTCTTTTTAAGTACTGAGTTTTTCTACAGCCACCTGAAAAAGAAGCCTGTAGTCTGCACAAGCAGTTTCATTTCGATGCATGTGAATAAAATCAAGCCCAGTGGCAGCCAAAGGCAGCTGGTTGTAGTACATCTGTTGCTAACTTAATCCTCTATTTGACGTCACTGGAGATGGCTAGGGGATATGGCAGCTGTGCAGGGGTGTGTGTGTGAGATGTGTGTGTGTGTGTGTGTGTGTGTTTTAGTGTTCTGCCCTGTGTTGTATCTGTTTTTCTTGTTTGCAGCTGGTGGTATGGAGGAGACAGACCACCAGTGAGTCTGTAGTCTTAACCTTGTTGTGACTGTGTGGAGCTGTTGCTAACTGGTCCTTTAGTCCAGGAAGTAGGTCATGTGGGGCAGTGTGCCACCACGCCACACAACACACTCCCTGATGGAACAAGGCACAGGTCACAGCGCCCAGGGTGGTAGTATAAAGCCTTATTGAAGTTTTAGTCTTACCTAGCTTTCTCATTACTTGCATGCCACGTCCTGGCACTACGTGTACAAACAGAGTTAATTCCCCAAATAAACAGCAATGCTCAGATGAATCAGCTATTTGAAGTTTGGTCAGGGAGACTGGAAAGAGTTTGTTCCCTATCAGTGCTTTCTCTCAGTAAGAGTGACAACAAGGTAGGCTCAGTGTAATCCTCTGATCTGCGGGAGATGACACACTAAGATGGTGTTGTTCTCATGTGATACCAAAACACGCTGATTCAGAGTCGGCTTGGAAACCGTCCCATCTTCTTGTAGCCCACTGGAAACAGGATTTTCTTCTTTTTGTTGTTTTTCCAGTAGAAATTAGCCCAGAAGCACCCTTCAAGTTGTTAAAATGCTTTCTCTCTAAAGAAGCTAATAGGATGAAGCCTCAGTTTTGACAAGGATTATTTTCAATTGAGTTGCTTCTTCTTGAAATGTGGCTTAGTCCTGTTGTGCTATTTAGAGACTATCTCTAAATCCGTTTTATGAGACAGTGTTCTCTGATGTCAGAGCTGGTACTGATGCAACAAATATGATTACAAAGGCTCAGTCAGGAGGACAGTGCATAAAAATGGAAATGAATGACAGAATTAAGTAAATGTAGGCTATTGTATCAATAATCTGGAGGGGGAATTAAATTAAAAGCAAATGTCTATCAGTGCCAAAGTGGAGGAGGGGCTGGCTGCTGTCTAATGAATCTGTGTGCTCATACTGATGCAGACAGGATGTTTAGTGTGTACCTGTAACTACTGTATACTGTATGTCGCTCCATTCATTATGTGCCCTTGAATGATTCATAGCTAGTGTCACGGCTTCAAGGCTGGCTGTGTTTTGCGTCTTCTCCGTAAAAGACTTTTCTAATTGTCTTCAGAGTGAGATAAGAAGCATCATCATATAATTATTCTAATATGTTCGCTGCGGCGTTGTCAGGCAGACCGTCTGTGGCCTTTTCAGCTGTGGGATTCATTATTAGCTATTTGTGTGCAGTGATCTTGACAGACAGCTCTCTCTGGGCGTTGATATGGAGTTCTGTGTAATTGCCTCTTCAATCTCTGTCTCGCCCCCGTCCCAGGGGATCAGGGTGCATCGCCTACCGGAAGAAGCAGGGAAGAAGAAGATGTCAATAATCCGTCCTGTCCTCTATTGACATGTCATATGTATCTTAGAGGAGGGTGCATAGATAATGAAACCTTGCCTCACACCATATCAGTTGGAGAGATAATGTGTGCCCCGAGGGGAGGAGAAGAATTACCCGCACCTCAGGTGTCATCAGGGGAGCTGCTATTAGATCTGTAATTAGACACAGAGGCTTCTAATTTTCCCTTCACTGGATACAACCACAGATGGCTGTGGAAGGTACATTTTTACAAATTTTGAAGACCAGAAGTGTAAACACAACTCTGGTGCAACATGCATAAACTGGGAAAATGCTTTGGCTGATTTATTCATTCAGCATCAGCAGGTGGAGATGGGTCGAGCTTTAATTAAGCCCAATCACATCAGCCCTTCTCATCTTGTTTAAAGGCAGCTGGCAGTTTTTTAATAAGCTGGGAAGAAAAGGTCAAGCTTCACTGGAGAAAACTGTCCTTCGCTGGGAGCCATAGAGTGCACGGCGCAACAATCAGAAAATTAGTCAGCAATAGTTTTGATAAAAGTTTAAGTGTGTTGGTTTTTTTTAAAGCACAAATTCCAAAAAGTCTGTGTCCACCTTTTTCACTTCCTTCGGTGATGGTACACTGACTTGGACAGTCATCGTCCAGCCAGCTTCAGCAGTTTTCACAATTTTGTTTCATTTTACAGACCCAGTGATTAATCAGTTTATAAAGAAAATAATTTTCTGGTTAATTGATAATGACAATAAGACATAGTTGCAGAGCTAAACTCAACATACATTCTACAGTTTAAATGGCTTGTGTGATTTTTCATTTTCATAATTTTCTGTGTGTAAACTGTGTCTTTGCCTTGTAAAGCCATGAGCACTGCTTTTTTTCACTTGCTGCTCTCATTTGGACTTAGCCAAAACATGAAATGGCTTTATGACTGCTGACTTTACTGCTGGCAAGACATTCGAGGCCAGTGTTGCATCCTCTGTGGCCGATCACGATGCATAGTAACACACATGGTGCTACAAAAAGAAGAGGTCAGGTTGATGGAGATGCTGTCTAATGTTCACATGAGTTCAGTTCTTCATGTGTGTTGGCTGTAGTGTGTATGAGAGTTCATTGTTGCTTTTGGCTCTGTGTGTGTGTGTGGACGTGCATGCTCTGTGCAGTCCTGCACGTGTCATTGTGGCTGGGAGAGCTGCTCCCAGGACAGCGGTGCATTAATCATGGGTTTTATACAGCGGCTGGGTGTGACTCCCTCTTGGCAGCCCCACACTGACATCACATGTAGTCCCCCAGGGGAAGGACAGAGATTCCTCGTTAGTTTGGGCTTGTGGTGATTTTCTCTTGGGAAATAAATGGCCCGTGTCAAGGTCAGTACAGGCACCTTGTAATTCAGTTTGCAAATTAAAATTATTTCACCAGATTTGTACTATAAACATGTGGCATGCCTGTACATGTATCAGATAGTTAGGCATAAACAGTGAGATTTAACTTCAGTAATGCTGTAGGATGCTTCTTCTGCTGTGGTTTGCTCTCATCCAAGCCAAGGTCAATGTAAATCAATTACAATGGCAGACCATTGATCATCGGAGCGCTCCAGCTTTGCAATGGTGATAGAAAAGCTTTAAGACTTTCACAGTGCCTCATTAATGTTTAATTCTGGTCCTATTGATCTGTTCATAATAAAGAGGCCTTGGTAAATGCCTACTGTCATCAATGTGCTCCTCAAACCAAAGGGCAAATTTTGGTTTGCTGACATGGGATTGATTTTATATCAAGAGTGAAATGCTGCGTTTAAAGCAGTCACTTGTTAATTGTTATGATAAATTTATGTTCTACTTAAATTTCATTAGTTATTTTGAGATTGTTTATAACCACTGTAGAGCTATTTATATATTATTTGTCAAACCAATGTTTGGACGGTTCATAGTTTGCTGAGTTGTCATTTTGTGTAAACACCACACTCAGATTGATGAACCCAGATGAGAGGAAGAGGCTTTGATTAATTGACATATCATCCAAATCAGAGCTAGCAGCATTTCTGGGCTCCTGGCTCTGAGCTAGGACATATTTTCTGCTGTCTTCCTCTCCCAGGTACAACCAGACAGCCCAGAGATGGTGAGATCTCAGGGGTAGACTATAACTTTGTCTCCATTGAGGAGTTCTTCTCCTTGGAGGAGTCGGGAGCGCTGCTTGAGAGTGGCAAATTCAAAGGTGAGGGTGAACTCGGTGCTTCTCCTTTTTACTGGATTCTCTTCACAGATGGGTGTATGGTGACTTGTTACCAGGATCAGAATCATATTTTATGTTTGAAAATACAAGGAGTTTGACTGAGAGGCTTATGCAGTGTAGATTTTGTTGTTTATCCTAAACGTCTTAATTATAGCACAGCATACTTAAAATTCTTTTTCTTCACTGCTTACATTTTTTTGTATTTAAATTATCTTAACATCATTTAACTGAATTATTACAAGTGAATGCACAGATCTGGAATTATACATTGTTCAAAACAATAAAGTTTTTATTATTTAGGTAACACTGAATCTATACTGCACATTAAAGAAATAGTTTGATGTCACTTTTCTTGGCAAGCATTAGATGAGAAAACATCTCATTTCTCACTCTCACATTTGTACAGTAAACATGATGTCGCACCCAGCGGCCAGTTAGTTGAGCTGGAAACAGGGAAACAGTAGCTGGGCTCTGTCCAGAGCTAACAGAGTTAGCCTCACAATCCCAGGATGACGACACCGGCACGCCTCCTGGCCGAGACAAGATAGTTCAGCATATAACTGCCTTAAAACCACAATTTCTACTATTCTGTTTTGTGTATGGAGTTAACAAATGAGATATAATATGTTAATATTTACAGACATGAGAGTGGATTTGATCATCTCGTCTTACCATCTGCAGAAAAGCACATTAGCACATTTCCTAAATATCAAATAGTTCTTTTAAAGACCCGTCTGCCTTCTTTTTTGTATACTCATTGTGTTCCCTGCCAGTGAAATATTAAGAAGACTGCCACTTGTAAAGACACCTCTTTATGCATATCAGTGGCATCAGCTGATTCTCAGATTGTATCTACCCCACAGACTCCTCCACCTGCAAGAGTCAGACTGTGGCCTCTGATTAAACATTAGCATCCGTAGTTTGTAAGAGTGGAAACGAGTGCAATAACTGTCGTCCTTGCCTGCCTTACATGTGACACTGATAGACACATCGCTACACCAAAGCAATCAGGAGTTTCAGCAGCGCTGTGGGAGCAGTATCCTGCACAAAACACAGTAAATGGAGACACCTGGCGACCTTTTTGTTGAGCGCAATAATCTAATATTTCCCCTCAACCCATCTGGATCTCCATGAATCAAATGGAGAAATGGAGATCCAGATGGTAATTTCATTTCTTTAGCAGCTGGACCAGATGGATAGAACTGAAAATCTAGAGCATACTGTTCACAGCATATGATTTCAGAGGATGCATAATGCACACATACGTATACATGCAGGTTTTGTGCAAAAGGGTGTATGATGGTTCATGTGTTAATGTAGACTGTGCTGTTATTGACCACCTTGAGATTTATTTCAGTGGATTTTATGGTCTTTCAATTCATTTATATTTCAATTATGACCTTTAGAGCACTCATTCTGTGTATTTAGTTCTATAGTTTGATTTGTTCATTGCATCTCCCTTTCTCTGGGAAAGACGTCTTTCTCCTGCCCTTGTCTATCTCAGGGAATTACTATGGTACGCCTCGGCCTGTTCACATAAGCACAGAGAGCCCGCCCATCACCTACCAGGAACACTGCAACCTACTCAGAAACTTCCGCACCCGCAGCAAATCACTCAGCAACCTGGAGAAGGCTGTAGAGGACTATGAGAACAGCGAGGACGACTCAGGCCTGTCAGGTAAGTTTAACTGAAACGTGAATTTTTATGAAGATATGTTAATGAAGAGGTAATTAATGGTGCAAACACAATGGTATGTTGTATCGTAAGTGGAGTATTACATAATAACCGGGGCCCTTTTTAGAATTTATTTGCCAAAGACAGGAGGAAATATACACAAGCCCACAGATAAATATTGCACTGATCCTGTCTATAGCTCCAGTTTCTGATATCCAGATTAATCAATCATTAAACTCTCATCGATTGCTGGATGACCTCGAAAGGAAGCAGAAAGTGTTTGAATGAAATCACTGACACTGGATCAGCCAACACACGTAGAGAGATTTTTTTTCTCTCATAAAGTAAAGACATTTTTGTTTCAGATTTGATTTGTTTCATTAACTAGATGGTTTATTACCGAATGTTAAACAGATGGCTGAAAAGGCTTCTTGTTCACCAGTGGTGGGAGAAGTGTTCAGGTACTTTATTTAAGTAAAAAGTATTCAATTATAATCCTTCTAAAGTAAAAGTACAGTTATATAAACATCAAAATGCACCTAAAGTACCAAGTAAAAATAGTATTCTGGATATATATAAGGATATAAGTTGTGACTGATGTAGTAATATAAATTATACTATTATGTTGTTGATACTGATGCATCAAAGTGAGAGCAGTAATTTACTGTTGAGGTGAAGCTAGTCCTAAATGCTAGGTGGTTTACTTTAGTGGTTTCCAATCAAGGGTCATAAAATGATTTTTTTGGGGTACACAAAGCTGTATTCGTTTTTTGGGCTTTTCTCTGACCTTTGCCAGTTTGTGAAATATTAATTTGACATCTTTGGGCCTCCTAAACGAAGCCACCTAATAGGTTTAGAGGGGGAGTGTCTGATCAAACTGCTAAAACTAACCCAAATGCTTTTTTATAAGGGGGGGACACAAAGGTTGGGAGCCACTGAAATATTTTAATAATGCACTATGTTATGTAATGCTATGGAAAAATCTTTTCCTCCAAAGTATGCCAAAACTATAGGTATCGAATAAATGTTGGGAAGTAAATGGCATTTCTTAAAATGGAAATACTCAAGTAAAGCACAAGTTACTTATCACCACTGTTAATCATGCCATCTATGCAGAGGAAGTCATGAAAGTAGTGTTGGAGAGTTTTCAAAGTGATGGCAAGGAGAAACTAGAACACGAGCTGAACAGAAGGCTGGTAAGATGAGATAAGATTTCTGGGGTAAGAGAGCAAGGAGGTAGCACAGGGTGGTGGCGACGGAGGCAGGTAGGGAGGCTGAGTGTTAGGAAAGGTGGAGGCAGCGAGCCAGAATGCTAGAGAAGATAAGAGGAAGGCAGGCAGAGTGGTGAGAAGGCAGAGATCCAGATAGGCAGAGACCTGCTTCAAGCAGGCAGGTAGGGCAGCAGGCAGCCAGGACTGGTGGGGAGAGGGGACGCATGATGGAGTCTAAGCCATCCAACACCCTGACCTCTGCTGAGTCATCTTCTGAATTGATGCTGTGTGAGTGGACTGGGTCAGCAGCGCTTGTCGTGTGTGGCAGGGCTCAGGACAGCCTGCGTTATGTCCGATGTCTCTCAGATCCCTGCTGGAGCTCATAGCTGAAGGACAGCTACAAGGACAACTAGGGGAAAAAGATGCTTATTTTCTTTGGCTGGTGAAATGGCATGCATAGTCACACACTCTGCCTCCTTAGAGGGAGGACGAAGCCGCCTGAGATGCTGACCTCAGGGCTTTTTGCCTGACAACCCCCAATGGAATTGCCAGCAGCAGGTTGTGACAGATTAAGGAGAAACTTTTTCACCTTCTGTATTTGTTACATAATTATTCAAATAAACAGTGTTTGATTTTTAACACTCATTCTTGCCACTATACTTACAGGAGACTCTGCAGGTCATAGCAGTAGCATCCCTACTGTCCGCCGGTCCCCCGGTCGGCCCCGGGCATCCAGTAACAGCGGTCATGCCATAGAGAACGGGATCATCAGCAGCAGAGGTGGTGCCAGGGTGAGAGGTGTGACGCCTGATCGCTGGGAGCAGGCCTTCAGCGACCCTGGGGAGTCTCTCTACATAGAGTGAGTTTCTACCTGCTCTTCACAAATCTGTTCCAAGAACAGTTCAACGTTTAGCACATTGTGAACTTAAACTTTGCTTTCTAGCAGAGGGTTAGATTAGACAGATTGTGTCTGTCTTTAATGGGCAGTTATGAACATTTCTCATGAATTTCAGTGGTAGGCATCTCTGTTCTGAGTATAGCACATTCTAGTGCTGTCATATTATATCCAGCACTATTATATTTCTGAAGCCTGAGGTTTCTCTTTCACTTCCCTCTTTGCGTCTACAAGTCGCAACCTGGATAGGACCAGCTGGCAGAGCCCTCGAGCCTCAAGCAGAGAGACTGTCTACAGAAATGAATGTGAGCTGCTTTTGTTTCTTTCTTTCCCATCTCTGTTTCTGGGTGTAATTATTTGAACAGTAGTGACACATTAAATTGCTGCACAACCTAAATGAAGCTGCATATTTGTATAGAACTGAAATAACATCTTGTTAAAGTCACATGAGAAGGAATGAGCTTTTAGCTGAACTGAGACTTGTACGAGATTAAGGCCTACAGCTCCGAGCTGCTGGCAAAGAGCTAGGCATCATGTCATCACATGATTGGCACATGTAACCAGCAACTTAATTTCATTATTTGGTTACATGATTTGCTTTTTAAAAAACAAGGGTGTAATCTAGTTTCTGATGTGTGTTTGACATAGCTGATTGTAAACTGTAAGAAGCCCATCTGTTGTCATGCTCTGATTCCAGCTTGTTCCAGTGCAGTACACCGCTCTCACCAGCAGGCGGTGCTATAAGCTCCTGTATATGAAAGGATCACTGTAACTGTGCTGGTGCAAACGTGTTTTAATGTGATTTTTCATAGATTTGGAAATGCAATCTTGCAGTAAACAGTAACTAAAAATACCCCGGTTACAATACTGAGTTGGGTCAGTGTTATGCTGCTGCTTTAGGCTGTAATGGACTCTGCTTTTAATGTAATCTGTCCACCAAATGCTTTGGTTTGTGTACATTTATCCATTTATAGCTATTTTTGGTAAAAGCCATCTGGCCACTGGTTTACGGTGTCCTGACTCTCTCTCTCTCTCTCTCTCTCTCTCTCTCTTTTCCCTCATCCTCCTTCGGTTCTTACCATTTAGTTGTAGAAACAATATTATCTTCTCTTTTTCTCTGGTGGTATTTTTCATCCTTGTAACCTGAAGACTGTCAGAACATTTCCCCGGAGGTAAGCATCATCAGCATCTCATCCTCTCTCTTTCTGTGACTACTAGGGTTCACAGACCAGCCTGAGGAGCTCAGGGGTTTCCCTGTACACACACACTTGACCAAGGGCTCCAGAGGGTTTGGCTTCAATATTGTGGGGGGCAGCAGGCCAAGAGAGTTACTCCAGGTCTACAGTGTGACTGCAAGTGGGCCCACAGCACTCAAGACAGGTAAAAATACAACGTGCCATGAACAGTTACTGTGTTGGAAAGGTAGCAGCTGCTGTAAAAATACATGAAATGAATCCTATGACTTCGCTTCTCGGCAAAGTGATATTAATAGCAGACCGAGAGCTGTAACTATGGTAAATCACACAAAATGTTGAAGCAGAAAATACTTTAAACAGCAGAGTTCTGCTGTATCTCTCTTGTTTCCTGTCTCCCCTGTTTGGGATTATTCATTTGATCTCCCACAAAATGTGCATGTCACATTCAGTCTTTAATCCTCAGGGTTTGTGCACAGTAATCTAGCTATCATAACACATGCATAAGCAGGGAAGTGCATCCAGTCCATGGACTCACACACACACACACACACACACACACACACACACACACATACAAATGCCCATACAGGCTGTCTCTGCGGGACTGATTTAGTTCATATCTGTTAATAGGCTGCTTTAGATGGATTAGTTGGGTGGATCAGTCCACACTCACACAAAACACACAGACAGTGTTTCACTTACGAAATACATTTGCCTGCACATTCAGACATAAAAATGGTCAAAGAAGTTAAACTGGCCAGATAGGAAAAACAGCTGGTACGTCGTTCTGCTGCAGATGATAAATAAAAATGTATTTTAGTATTTATTAAGTATTTTATTAAATGTGTTGTGATCTGTGTCTGTATACATCTATAATAGCTGACATCCTCGTGTACATCAATGAGGTTTGTGTGCTGGGAGTGTCTCACAAAGAGGTGGTAGAAATGCTCAAGTCGGTGCCTGTGGGCCACAGCGTGGATGTAGAAGTTAGAAGAGGGTATCCCATGCTCTACAACTCCGATGGTTGTCCCAAGCAGCCCCCGCCAAGGCTACTGGACAGAGGAGAGCCCATCCTACCGCCCACCACCACCCAGCCTCAGTCTCTTCATCAGCTACCTCGCCTCCCGACACCCACTCCCCAGACCCAGCACTTTAACTATAATGGGGTCCACAGTGATGGGGGCTTCATGGAACCAGGGGTTCCTCAAGATGGTAATGGAAATTCCACATCTTTCACGATCAGACAGCCGCCCTCATACAGACGCTCCACTATAAGCGACATTGCTTCCTCTTCCCCCGTGCGCCCACCTCGTTCCCTGAGAAGCTTAGCCAGACTACAGTCCCTCGACCCAACCCTGGCGAGCCAGAGTGACAGCGAAGTCGTTTCTGCGATTGGTTCACACAGGTAACACCTGCACGTAAAACGCAAAGGAGCATCTGCGGAGACTCAGATTAGTGCCTTCACATATTTGACATTTTGAAGCTGCAATTACAAGTCGGTTAATTAATTTTAAAAAATGATCCAGAAACAGTTTTGGTAATTGATAAATAATTTGGGTCCAACTTCTCAATCTTCTATATAATAATCAATGAAATGTCAGTGGGCTTTGTTCAGACAGGCTAAAGGATTCATTGTGAAAGTACCTGGCTTCATAATTGATAAAGAACATTATCATTAGATACAACCCTAAACATTTAAAACATTTCTGTGTAAGACAATAGATATAAATTCTGACATCTTTACCAAACTGAGCAAGTTAAGTTTATTTTGCAAACTGTTCCAGGTGGCTGGAGCAGAATCCATTGTATTTATTAAGGGCTTATTAACCCTTTCTTCTTCTTCATCAGGGCATCAGTGATTCGTAATCACAACAACAACTCCCTCTCAGCACCCTCTCATCCTTTACACTGCGGCACATCCAAGTCATCTGAGAGTGACCTATCGACCGGCACCCTATCAGGGTCCAGGCTGCCCCTGCCTCATTCACCCAGGAGACCCCCGTCGTCCCTGGGCGAGCCCCACAGAGCTTACGCTCGCCTCTTCAGACCACAGACCTCCCACCTCAGACCTCCTCTGACCCCTGACAGCCCTATTCATCTTTGCTTCAACACTTTCCACAGCAACACCAGCCCCGCTGCAAGTCCCAGCAGTGTGTCCTCTCCTGGGGCGATGAGTGTGGGCAGTGGAGTTGGCAGCGGAGGAGAGCTGGTACCAGTGGCCTTGGCTCAGACTGAAGGAGACAGAGGCCTTGGCTTCAGCATGACGGCTGGCGGTCTGGGAGGCAGGATGACTATAGTGAAAAGAGTCTGGGATAGGAAGCAGTGCAACTCTCTGCAGCCAGGGGACGCTATTGTCAAAATCAATGGAGCTGATGTTCAGAGCCTTAGCCTTTTACAGGTAATAGAGGAAAGTAAAGAGAAGTGAACTGAACTTGTTTATATCAGGTAAAACAATTGTTCCAAACCTTTTTTGCTTGCAAGCCCCTCATCACAGAGCGACTGAGGTGTAATCAGTCCAATCAGAGTGTGATTTTCCATTCTCAGACAGTTTCATCTGAATGATTTTGATTTATTTATTTATTATTTCAAGCATGTAAAGACAGTTGATATATCAACACACATAATTTTACACATATCCAACAAATGCTAATCCATTATCCATTTGCTTATACCTAGTACATGCTTGAATGGAGTAGGAAGAAGTCAGACTTATCTAGTCCTACCCC